TAATGCTTCGACTACGACTACGACGACGACGACGACGACGACGACGACTACTACTACTACCGCTACTACTACTACTACTACTACTACTACTACTACTCCTACTACTACTACTCCAACTACTTGCTTGCATACATGTTCACCTTCCTCGTGCATGCTGTGCTGTTTTGTTCCTTGCTTAGTGCCAGTCCATTTCATGATGCAGTCGCTGTCGTCTAGACGCGACACACTGCATCATCTTTGCAGGGGTTCATGCTTTGCGGAGTCTTTGCCACGCGGCTCTACGTCTTCGGGCGACAAAGCTATGGCTCCTGGAATGCACACGGCGGATCGCAACTGAGCGCAGAGCTTCGCCCAACTCCAGGTTGCCCTGTGTGATGCGGCTGCCGCTCCGCACAGAGATGTCGTCACTGCCAGCAGCAAGCAAGGAACACACATTTAGGCCGCCACCCGAATCCTTATGAACATAGGCAAGACTGTGCCGAGTCGAACGGAAACTCTCGCTGAAAAGCGGCTCTGCCTCTCAACTTCTTCTTCTGTTGGGGTGGCCGAGATTCCACCACACACACCCGATTGTTGAACTCGAGCAACCAGTCTCGAGTCAGCCGTCGGACATAGGTCCAATCGCGTTGTTCCACCCTCCGCCTCCTTTGGTGTGGATTCTGCTGTCTTCCTCCGCAAACAGCACCAGTTCCCGCAGCACCAGGGCTCAGCGTGTCCTTGTCTCTTTATCTCGCAATTCCAAGGGGACCAGACGAACGCCTGCGTTAGGAGAACATCTCTCTCTCTCTCTCTGCTTTCTTCTTGCCTATTCAATCCTATTCACTAGACACACCACAGGCCTTCCAGCATTAGCATATGACAGTGACGGTTTGCTATCATTGCTACTATGTCAGAATCAGAGTTGGAACTGGCGTCGATCTGTACACATGGCATCACATGGCCATTCTGATTTTCATTGTAGGTATGTTGGCTTTAGCTTTTCACATGCGAACCTATGATTTCCTATGATGGCATTGACATTAACAGTAGCATTCTCCGATGGAGAAAGCCTTACAAAAACGATATCTACTCCAAATGATTGACGCGAATACATGCACGTGGACGAATAGCACAAGTTACTGCTCTTGCTCCTACACTTGCACGTAGTACTGCTCCTGTCGCGATTGCTAAGCGAGCACCATCCATGTCTTCTTGATTTCTACACGTGTATTTCACCAAGCAAACAAGTGCATGAACACATGCTGCCTCTTCGGGATACAGAAGCCCTCAGCGCCACCGAAATTGGCGGATTGATTCCTGCGCGCTTGAAAGCACATTTGTCGAGCACTCCGCGGGCAGTCCTAAAGCGGTCTGTTCCGTTTCGCCTTTGCACCCATGCATAAGTTTTTCGTGTTATACACACGGAGTTTCTCGCCTGGTGGCTGCTCCTGTGCTGTCCTTGCTTCGGTCTTCGGGGCGAAGGAATCACATTCTAAGGACGTGCCGGCCCCCACAAACCTGCGTACATGTCTCGAGGCCGTCGCGACGGTGCCTCGGATCTCAAACGGTCTCCGTGGAATACACACGTCCAGCTTACTGCCACGTGCTTTCAATGAAGCATTTGGAAGCCTACCTACCCATTACATGCAATGAGTGGCACTGCGTTGTATCAATGATGAAGCTGGGAGCCTGGGGAGCATGTTCACTGGGCGATTAACGTTCCGAACGATCATCAACCATGACGTTGAAAACGTCAATGCATTTACATATACTTCTTGCATCTCAAGCATGTGCCCATCTGAATAGGTCAGTGGCTCAAGATCCCATGTTTGCGGCGGGCTTTCAGTGTGAGCTGTAAGAAATGTCCTTGTCGGATCCACCTTCTTTCCGAAAACGTCCTGGCCGGCACGTGTCAAGGATGCTCCTCTCCATCAGCCCGAAGTCATCACCGAAACGCGATTTGAACCGAAAGTCTCCTTGTTGGGAACCGTGACAGGGTCCATCGGGCCAGTCAAAGGCTGAAGGCCAGGCTGCAAGTTTCCTGCATGGGGTTTCTTGGTCTTTCGGAAAGTATCAATCGGAGCACCCTGTGGGCTCTGTTCCAGGTCTCTCGGAGATCCAAAGAGATCCGTTGCAGGGTGTATCGATTCTGATGTGCGCAGGTCACTATCCCCAACTGAAATCCGAACATGCCTTCAAACAAGCCGGTGGTCTGCTACTGCATCAGGCATTCAAGCTTGGATGAAGGGCTCGTGTCAAGAAGTCACGGATGATTCGAAAATTGACAGGAATTCGTCGTTCGGCGGATAGTCATTGACGGTGTAGAAACCTTCGGACAGGCGGCTGCCCATTTCTTATATGATTCGGACGAGGTCAGCTGAGTGTACTCACTACGTTGAACCTTGGGTTTGTTTGAAAAAGCTTCTGAGGGCATAGAGATAAATAGGGCATAGAGGTGATTTTTCCTGTCGGTCACAGATCTGGAGCATGTGGAGTTCACACCTGCTCCGATCCGCGTATGCAAGCTCATGGAGCTGTGCCCGTATGCAACAGCGGTGCGACCTTCAGAGTCCGAACATTGAGATGCCATCTGTGCATAGTGCGGCTTATTGCGGCTTCAATGAGCATTTAAGACATACGTTCTGGTCATTGACGTGTTCCGACCCGAGCTGTTCATAAGCCATGCAATAGCTACGCTACGTGAAACTGACTACGATTGACTACGTATTCCCTGGTTGGGATGTTTGAAAAGCGAAGAAGGTAAGCAAGAGTTCTGCAAGAAACGCCCCAACCATGATGGACGCAAAAATCACGCATGGTGTGAAACTTTACTGCTTGCTCTGCACATGGCCTTTACCCGTTGCACGAGACCGATGACAATGCTTCCGGGAGCCACGGCGAGCAGCAGAAGAAATAAGCATGACCGGTGAAACCCTGTCACATCCTGTCACCCAATTCGGGGCGTGGTTCATCTTACAAGACAACCCCAGTTTAAGGTCTGGCGCTAAGATACTGATACTGAAAAACAGTTCAGAGCTTCAGAATTCGGAAATCCAGCATGAGCCAACGTCGAGGAAATTGCGAAAAAATGATGGCAGATTCACGGTGTACGCCTACAGTGTCACCGTTCACATGGCCGCCTGGCATTTCGGGAGGTACCTCCGCGACAGCTACGATAAGCAGGAGCTTCAGAACCCACCCCGACTTTGGCGGTGCTATATAAAACCTGCCATCCTGTAATCAAAGTAAACCATTGTTTCATTCATGACCTGTTCTACATGCCTGTCTTGCTTTTGATACACACCCTCCCAAACCCCGAACCACGAATGCATCAGATATTGATATTGTAAAGGCATAGCTACCAAATTGCTACATCTCTGGTTTATGGACTTATTCAGAGGCGTTCCACGATGCATTTTACGATAAGCCTTGCAAAGTCGGACAATGCCACAAATGCCTCCACGTTCCTCAGCCCAGCATTCTGGCCTCAGTTCAGCAAGAGCGATTCCACGATCATTTGGCCACACGCTGGGCTTCAGGACACAGCTGGCCACATAGAAAGTTACGAGAGGGAGGCGACAAGCCGCAGCTGCTTCATGAAACTGGGATGCCGGCGGCATGGGCTCCGAAGTAGCTTTGTCGGGGGGCCCCTCCGCCAACCTGCACCAAGGCTTCGACTCTGCCTGGGCTTTGACACTCCAACCAACTTGCCTTAGGTGCCAGATCCCTTCTGGTCAGCATTTCGATCTTTTACTTGACACGATGTCTCGGTTTGCAACACGGAACCGCAGGCCACCAAGCGACTAGGCTGCCTCCGGCAAGGCATCCGGCCGCGCATTGCCGGCGCTTGGAACCTGATGCTTAGCCGCTACGGCTACGGGCCTTCCCCCCACGGCAGCTTGGAGATTCCGACTTCCAGGAAGTGCGGGGTTGGCAGGACAGACAAGGTCTCCTTCTTTGGCACAACATGGCTATATAAACACCACCCAAGCTTAGATCAGCACGCCAGCCACGCCCGGCATGCCGGCCTGGGAAGCCCGACAGCTTGTATTTAAGAGTCTTTAAGAGAGCTTTCCACCTTCCATTCCACGCAGCACCCCAACCAGGGCCGTGACGCCCGGAGGCATACTCGGCCGCACGGCCGGCAAGGATGACATCTGCTGCGGCATTCCTGACGGATCCGTGCGCATCCGCTGCTCCTCTTCTCTCCCCACGTGAATCCGTGACTTTCCTGGTTGGTAGCGCGCCATCTTTAGGTAGCGTGCCCCAGGGCCTCAGTCGCAACACAGAGCTTGGTCGGATTTTGAAGGGCCGGGATGTGGCAACTCAGCCCTGTCGGCCGAGGTGCTCTTCTTGCCCGTGCCGGAGCTCTTTCGGCCTTGGGGCAACATGCAACTCTATTGGGAATCAGGGATCTCCAGAAAGTAACAGCAGCTTGAGAGGACCAGAACGTACCAACCAAGGCGTTGCTCATGAGCATCAAGAACAACTTGACCAAGAGCAGACATACTCCTACCCTCCAGAATGGACGCTGGGACGCCAACCGTCCATGGGTGCCATTGATGCTCCCAGTGGCGGTAGGTTAAAGCCTCTCACAGATAGACAGATGGATGCTCAAGATCCAAGTGCTACTCGCCCCAGCATCCCCCAGCTCACGCACCTACCGCCACAGAGCCTTGTCAACAGAATCCAAAAGACAGTCCCGCCAGTAATCCGCCGAGGCCGGAAGCCCGGGTGTTTGGAACCGTTGAGACTTGGTACGAACTAACAATAATGTGGTTTCCCTCCCCAATCATCCCTTTGCCGGGGCCACTGTTAATGGAGAGGGGTTTTGTCGAGTTTGGGAACAGTCTTTGGGGGATAAGTTGGAGGACTGGTAATTCCGACAGTTTTGCTTGCCCACACCCTGTGTGCGATTTTGTGGTTTCATGCTTCTGACCGTTTTTTCTGTCTTCTTTCCGCNNCCCCCCCCCCCCCCCCGCCCTTCCCCTGCCCGTTTCCCTTCCGGCCTCCTTCCCCAACTTAGTCCGCTCTGGGCTACGGGGTCATGCCCCTGAGCTCTTCATCTTGATGTATTGCAGGGGGGTGCAGGGGAGCTCCATCCACCAAAGTTTCCCCTCCACCCCAGTGAAACATCGCCTGCACCTGGGCAGCTGGCTGGGCACTCATTTTCATGTTCTTCCTCATCTCATTTCGTGCTACGTCATTCCTTTGTGTCTGGCGCAGCACAGGGCTGCAACCATGCCCCTTACTCATCATCTCATCTTGTTTGGTTTTGTATGCCATTCCTTTGGTTTGGCATCTCATCTTCGTTTTCATCATCATCATCATCATGTTTCCCGCAATCCAGAAGCACAAACAACCTTTGATAAGTGTGCAACAACGGCTCTCCGTCACGGCGCCGTGGTGGTCTCGATTGAGGCAGTTCCCGATGAAAGGAATCCTTTTCGCTGTCCCTGTGGTCGGAGAACGAGGATGGAGAGGGAACGTCGCTGCTCAGGTGATGGAGCAGGTGCACCAAAAGTCCAACGGACGATGCACACGACGCGCCGAAAAGGGCCCTGCTCATGAACTCAGCCCAGAAAGCTACAGAGGCATCTTGTTGACAAAACATGCTCGCTCAGCGAAAGGACTTTGCAGATCAAGATTTGACCATACCAACGTATTGGACAGACGCAGACTAAAAGCGTGGACGCGGGGGATACCATCTAGATAGATGTTCTACATGGACATATGTATATGTCTATACGCACTGACGGCGCAGAGACATGCAGGAGAAGCGAGGCAAGAACATGATTAAATAGATAGCTCGACGCATCGATGGATAGCTAGACAGACAGATAGCTAGAAAGACAAAGACACAAACAGACGAGTGTCAGTACGCTTCATAATCTGATCACGAAGTGCAGCTTAGTTGCCACGCTTTTTGAGAATGTGAAGCAGAGTCTAAACATCAGCTGTACATGTCTTTAAACTGTCATGGAGACCGTACACAATGCCAGGCTGTAGTACAAGGAATAATTTCAGTCATCGCCGTTGGTAACTACTGCTATTGTTTTTTGAAACGGGCGAATGCTACTGCGCCGCTCCTGCTCTTCCATCAATGTCGTGTGTATGTACAGATATAGATACAGATATAGATATAGGTACCGACAGAAACGTAGATGTAGATATCAACACAGACTTGAGATTTATATGTTTTATATACATACATTGTCCAGGGAAGGGGCACATCTGCAGGCGGCCTTTAGAACCACCTGCATTTTCTTTGCCGCTTCCGAAGCCCGAGGGCCTGCACAGGCCGTCCCAACAACGCCGGAAACTGCAAAGCTGCATCAGACTCTGACTTGCAGTTTTCGAGGCTCTGTCATGCCTACGATGCTTGCAATGCCCAATAGTCCACCTACACTCGCTGATCCGTCGATCAGCTGACATGCTCTCGTTGCGCCTCCTGCCCGAGTTCGGATGACTGCCGTGCCCCTCCTTCCAGCCTCAAGGTGCAAGTCAACGCGAGGCATGTGGTGTGCCCAATGGACACGAGATCTTGGGCCTCGGCTTCCTTTGCTGTTGAAAAAGGCATCGCCACCAAGTCCGAGGCTGTGAGTGCCACTCATGCTGCTGCTGCCACCAGGCAGCGACCTGCCAGGTTGCTGCACAGCACTACGCCTGACCATGGAGAGCATGGATACATTAAAGTGTGCCGCAAAGCAGCGGGATGCCCGACTTCTTCGCTGGTCCCTCAGAGGCTCGAGGGGTCGAGACGAACGCTGCAAAGGAGTACGAACGAGGTCCGGACTGCGCTCGGGGCCGCTGGCGCCGCCTCAGAGCAGCCAGACAAACCCCCACAACGCAGACAAACCCCCCCTAAAGCTGTGCCCTCTTGCTTCTTCTGGTGGCATCAGATGCCTTGGACCTTTTGTGTAAGGGCAAGTGGTCGAAGGGTGCAAATAGCTGTTGGGCCTTTGGCCCCACAGCAGGCATACTAGTTCACTCAACTCGCGTCATTCGCACGCGGTTCCTTTCTCGTCACCTCGGCCTGTTGGCCGCGAAGGAGCATCTACTAAGGCAAAATCAAGCGCAGGGATGCCTCAGAGAGTGTCGCCTTCATGTTGTTGTAGTAACGGGTCGTCTCGGACTCTTTCAGCCCATGCTTTGGTCTTCGCAGCCCGATCTTCTGAATCGGGGATTCGTCGAGAAACCATCCGATTTCATGCGCCGTCGCAGACCCGAACTTGTACTTCTGCGATGGGCTACAGGGTGACCGGGTGTGCTTGCGAAGCGTGTCCCGAAAGCTGCTAACCGACGCAAACTCCACAGAGTGCTTGGAAGCCGAGAAACTCGAAGATGTGGCGCTCTTGCTGTTCGGAAGCGGGCAATTGCCCTCGTCACGCAGCCGCCAGAGATTCCTCACGTCCACAGCCGGGAGATCACGCCGCAGGTAGGTAGGAGCCAGAGGATGGGATGGATACAGCGCCGGCTGGCTCCCAATTCGGAGCTCGGTACCCGCCATGCGACAAGGAGACCCCACTGAAACCTGAGAAGACCCGTGAAACATATAGCTCTGCCTTCTGCTGCATCTTCTGGCAAGAATTAAGAAGTGGTGTAAAATTCAAACTATTCTCATGCTGCACATGAAAAGCTGTCACGAATCCGCCCGTCTCGGGACGCAGACTGCCACGAATTGCGGCACACCGAAATCAGCTGTGAACTGATGCCACTGCAGCTCCTACTCCTGCTCCTGCTCCTGCTCCTCCTCCTGCTGTTGCTGCTTCACAGCACGACGGTGACTACGATAGCTGCTGCAACGGCTTCTGCATTGTTGCTGATACTGCAACTGCCCCGGGTTCTGCTACTACTACAACTGCTCCTCATGCTACGGCTACGGCTACCGCTACTGCTACTACCACTACCTTGAGCACCACCAACACGACGACCATCGCCACCACACGGCAACCACCATGATCACGATGCCTTGTTATCTTGCAATACTTGCTGTTGCATGCTGTTGCTTCGCGGCTAGTAGAATTGCCCAATTGCCCTAAGAATGTCGTGGTAAGGTAGGATTCTTGTAATGTGTGAGTGCTGTCTTTTTCATCGTCGTCACCTAGCTTTTGTGACAGCAACACGACGATGTTTGGCACCATGTATGACACCATGATTGTCATGGCTACTGCTGTTCGTTGCTGCTGTGACACCCGGTATTCTCGCTATCCCGTGTCGAATACTCGTGGGAATTTGTTATTTAGCTCCGCGCCGCCTCTGCGTGGCCAGCAGGAACAGAAGGCAGGCCGAACTGAGCCTGTGTTTTGAATCCGATAATATTCACTCTCAGCAACGACTAACTAGCAGCACTGGTCGTGGCAGTAGTAGGAGTAATAGTAGCAGCAGTAGCAGTTGGGGGGTAGAAGTAGAAGTAAAAGTAGGAGGAGCATCAGCAGGGTTAGGAGTAGTAGTAGTCATCGTCGTCGTCGTCGTCGTCGTCGTCGTAGTAGTAGTAGTAGTAGTAGTAGTAGTAGTAGCAGGAGTAGTAGTAGTAGTAGTAGTAGTAGCAGTGCTTCTAGTAATTCTAGTAGTAGTAGTAGTAGTAGTAGTAGTAGTAGTAGTAGAAGAAGAAGCGCAGTAGTAGTAGTAGTAGTACTACTACTACTACTACTCCTACTACTACTACTACTACTACTACTACTACTACTACCACCGCTACTCCGATTCCTACGATTGCGACAACAACTACTTCTACTAGTACGAGTACTACTGCTAGTACTACTGCCACCACCCAAAACCACCACCACGACGACGACTACTGCTCCTGCTGCCTCTGGCAGCAGGAAGTACAGTAATAGGCAGGAATTTCAAAAGTCCGCAAAGACCTCAGTCACCAAAATACAATAAGATCACAAGTGCTCCAAGTGGCACGGAGGAACAAGCCGAAATTGCAACAGTCCCCAAGACCCCAGTCACTATAAGAACACACGTGCTCCAAGTGCCACGCAGTTTCGTTCAGGGCATCCGCCTCTTTGAACCACACCACAAGCTCGAGCTACACTGGCAAGGGTTCAACAACTTGTTGTCGCCTCGAAGAATGGATGATGGAGGATCTTTGTGGCGGAGTGCCGCCGGTTGGGGTCCCACTGCATCATGGCCTTCATCGAAACGAGCTCTCATGCTTCAGGTGTATTGCCACGGCCACACCTGCATCAACTGGATGCCATCGGCATTTGCCTGTGGCACGAGCGTCTCCAGTCTCGTAGGCACAAACCTTATAGATGGACAAGGAATCACGATGGAGGTTGGGCATGGGCGACTCAGGTTGGGGCTGTGGAAATCGGTAGCCCAGCTGGGCTGCCAGTTTGAAGCCTTCTGGCCAGCTGACCTAGACAGAAGCACACCGCTTTGTGGGTTCGGCTGGGCCTCTCTAAATAGGATGCGCGCTGTTGTGGGTGTTCCCAGCACGGAGCAAATCTTGTAGAGCCTCAAGTGCAGAACAATGCACATTCGGATTGCTAAAGGGACGATCTAGTTCAAAGCCAACACCTTGCATCACCAGAGTCATAGACGTGACTCTACCGCTCAGCTTCACAGTCTGTGGCTTTAGAGCGGCGGTTTGTAGCTATCGCACCCAGAGACCTTACCAGCTTTACCCCTAGGATTGGAGCGGTCTGCAGCAAGCAGAACAAACAACATTCCTAGCATGAAGTCGTGCCCAAGTTAAAGTCAAAGACAAGGTACTGGTCGCTCTCAGATGCTCCCGGAAATAGCGGCCTACCACAGGCGCATTCAGACACCGAACATGATGGCTTGCAACCCTGCCTTAGTGTGTACAACTCGGCCATGATGCCACCACAGGCCTGCGAACAAGGCAGCCCCCCGCCCCACTGATTCAAAAAACTCAATCCCACAAGCCCGGCCCAAATGTCTAACGGGGAGTTGTAGATGGAGCTACGCAGCAGCACCTGCAACGGATTCAGCTGGGAGGCTCCGTCAGGCACGCATGATTGGGCCTCCGGTGCTCGGTACCACCGAGTCGAAACATACTCGGTGAAGGGAGGGCGCCTGAGGAAGAAAGCTCTGCGACACTGAGAAAAAACTTGCGAACTTCCGAGAGCACGACGCTCTAATTTCACGCGCCAAGCCAAAGTCAGCGAGTTTGACGGTCTCCCCACTAACCTGAGGCAGGCTGTGCTCCGCTCAGAGCAGGAAACCCTCCGGTGGCTGTTATCTGAGCTACTAACGAGCAGGTTCTCTGGCTTCCTGGAGTGAATAAGCCAAGCTTGCTTCGGATCCCTTAACTCAGGCGTCGTGCTGAGCAAAAGACATGTCTCGATGAAAGTAGCCGTGTTTATGCACATAATTCATGGCCTGCCGGGTGACAAGTCAAAGTGTGGCATAGACATTGACAGCGGGATCAGATGCCACGGCTGCAGTTGCCCCTTGCCTGCATGGTCTGAAACATGATATTTCGAACCTTGCTCTCTGGAATCGCACGAACCTCAGTCTTGGTTCAGTCCCGTCTCTGTGCTAAGTACTGTCCACCTCTAAAGAAGACAAGGGCATCGGCTCTGGATTTCATGAACTCGTACAAATTGGCCTTGTCGATACAACAAGACTGACACGGAAAAATGCATGATGAACATTGCAAAGACATCTGAACAAGCAGTTCTGTCCTCCATGAACTCAAACACTAGATGAAGCTCATCGTTTTCTCTGATGACCTGCACAGCAAATCAAGCGAGAATCAGAGCAAAAAGTATAAACGCACACGCACGCACACACACACACACACACACACACACACACACGCACACACACACACGAATATGAAGCTACTGACCCGGCGGCCTCCTTGAGCTTCACGATGTTGGGATGTATAAGCCTTGGAGAGGGAACATGTGGGGGGGGCTGACATCGACAGTGCATCCAACAAGTGTATCTCAAGACCCGGGCTTCCGCAATGACGCGATCTCACGAAGCTTCATGCATTCATCCCAGCCTCGGCTTCGAGCCAAGATGCCTCAGACCTCTCTGACCGACCCGACGGCTGAAGTAGGGGGAGAGCTATAGTACTTCTGTTTCATCTTCTTGATTGCCACCTGTCGGATCAGCACTGTCCGGGAATCTCGATGCAAAAGTGTCCAGTGAGAAAGAGCAGCCAGCGCGCACCCATTCATTTGTCTGCTTGTTCTGGGCTTTCAGAACTGAACCATATGTCCTGGATCCAAAACAAAGCGGAAGCAGGTGGCAAGTTCTAGGAGCGGAGGGAGGGAGGGGAGCAGCTGAGCTAACACCACTTGGCGATGCATGAACTGAGTGCTCGTCCCGTCTCCAAGCGTCTTGAGCACCTGGCCAGCATCAACAAGGCAAGCAACACCCACAGTCTCATGCGTCGACTCATGCGTGCAATTGCGTGCATGTGCCACCTTGTAGCGGTTCATCAAGTGCCGCGCACTGGAGACGGGATCCTTCTATATGCTTACGACTCACTACTCTGACTTTTATTTCAACCCTGTACACACTGCGAAAAGTGGAAATTCTGCAAGCCAGCCTCTCCGTCCTCTGCGCACAAAGGCGCCCTACTCGAGCTTTGAGCCAGGACGGCAATCCGCATCCATACGCAACTCAGAAGCACTCACAGCTCACAGTTTGTCTGACTGGCACCATAAACGGTCTGCACCAGGCACTGAAAAAGATGAAACCACTAAGCCTACAACGCACAGGTTCCTGACGGAGGACGTCGTGTTGCCGTCTTCGGTTCAGGGACACCACCGGCCATCTCGCCAGTAATTGGATTCACCACTGGCGCCTGGGGACTCTTCACGCGGCAAACGACCTTTGCATCTCCTCAGCTGCTTGCCTGCTGGCGGCCGTTGCACTCAGCAGCACGCCGTTGCTCCTGAACGAGCTTCCGACATCAAGGTCGTAAGATGTGCTAAGCAGCTCTGTCACAAGAACACCACTCCTGAAGTGTTTGATCGCTGCAAAGCACCCGCATTCCGCTTGCCACCCCCATCTGGGGGCGATATACTCCGAAGCTCATCTTGCAGCTGCAATGCGGCCACTGTCCATGGGTTCTTTGAGCAGCAGTCAAGAAACGTACCGAAGTTTCAACGAAATCCATATTTCGGCCCATGTCTACTCGCCCTGTCACGGTGCATCGACGGGCCCACACTTTATCGGAAGATCTGTTGTAAATGTGAATGGCTGTTCGAGAAAAACCGTGTAACACGCATCTGCATGTTGCTGCTGCTGCTGATCATGTCCTCAGGATCCCTGGTTGTGTTTTGCCACATTGTTCGATCTGGAACCAAGTCAGGTTTTGGCTTCAGATGCATGGAGGCAGATTTCAATGCCCAAACGCTCCATCTGCCAACATCGAGGGTAATGATTAAGATGCCCTGAGCAATTGGGATTTCATCTGCAGCGTCTAGAACCAAAGATGTAATGATCGCAGATGCTTGATAGTAAAAAGACTCAGGCAGCTGTCTCTAGCTGCACAAGAACACGACGAAACTCCTTCAAGACATGCCGGGCTGCCCCATCTTTTTCGCCGCGCATCACGCCAGCTGCCACAGTTGCCGAACGACGATGTTGAGTTTCCCCATAGCGGTGCCGTCAGGCCAATGCAGTGCTGCTTGTGCCTCATCCCCCCCAAACGCGCTTACAAAACCTTTCTCGACTTCTTCGAGCACCAGCCATTTCAGGATTGGACTCATCGGCCTTCCTCCGGAGCGAAATCGTGCTTCGGAGGCCCTCCGCTCAAAAGGCGCCCGGATGATTCGTTTAACTTATTTTTTGACTTGTTTCAAGCTCTTGTTAGGTGAAATCAAATCTTCTTGAAAGAATAACAACCAAAA